TATGTACAGGTTCCTCATGAGGTACAATTAAGTGTTCTGGAATTCCCATTCTTCTCAATGTTATCCACAGTTTGTTATGATCCACACAATCAAATGCCTTTGCATAGTCAATAAAACACAAGTAAACATCTTTCTGGTATTCTTTGCTTTCAGCCAATATCCATCTGACATCAGCAATGACATTCTTTGTTCCATGTTCTCTTCTGAATCCAGCTTGCACCTCTGGAAGTTCTCTGTTAATATACTGCTGCAACTCTTTTTTATTTATCTTCAGTAAGATTTTACTTGCTTGTGATATTAATGTTATTGTTCAATAATTTCCACATTCTGTGGCATCATCTTTCTTTGGAATGGGTACTAATATGGATCTCCTCCAGTCAGTTGGCCAGGTAGCTGTCTTCCAAATCTCTTGGCATAACTGAGTCAGTGCCTCCAGTGGGGCATCCATTTGTTGAAACATCTCAGTGGGTAATCCATTGATTACCCATTGGTCAATTCCTGGATCCTTGTTCTTCGCCAATTCCTTCAGTGCAGCTTCAACTTCTTCCTTCAGTACCATTGGTTCTTGATCATGTGCCACCTCCTGAAATGGATGAATGTCAACCAGTTCTTTTTGGTACAGTGACTCTGTGTATTCCTTCAATCTTTTGATGTTTCCTGCATCATTCAATATTTTGCCCATGGAATCTTTCAATACTGCAACTTAAGCCTTAATTTTTTTCCTCAGTTCTTTCAGCTTGAGAAATGCTGAACGTGTTCTTCCCTTTCAGTTTTCTAACTCCAGGTCTTTGCACATTTCATTATAATAATTGACTTTGTCTTCTTGAGCTGCACTTTGAAATCTTCCATTCAGCTTTTTTATCTTGTCATTTCTTCCATTTAATTTAGCTACTCTCCATTCAAGGGCAAGTTTCAGACTTTCTTTTGACACCCATTTTGGTCTTTTCTTCTTTTCTTGTCTTTTTAATGGCCTCTTGCTTTCTTCATGGATGATGCTCTTGATGTCATCCCACAATTATTGTTTTTGGTCACTGGTGTTTAATGCATCAAGTCTGTTTTTTAGATGGTCTCTAAATTCAAGAGGGATATATTCAAGGTCATATTTTGGCTCTTGTGGACTTGTTTTAGTTGTCTTCAACTTCAAGTTGAACTTGCATATGAGCAGTTGTCTGTTCCACAATCAGCTCCTGGCCTGGTTTGGCTGAAGATACTGAGCTTTTCCATCGCCCCTTGCCACAGATGTAGTCAATCTGATTCCTGTGTATTCCATCTAGCAAAGTCCATGTGTATAGCTGCCATTTGTATTGTTGAAAAAAGATATTTGCAATGAATAAGTCGTTGGTCTTGCAACATTCTATCTTGCGATCTCCAGCATTATTTCTGTGACTGAGGCCAAATTTTCCAACTACCGGTGATTCTTCTTTGTTTCCAACTTTTGCATTCCAGTCACCAGTGATAATTAACATATCTTGATGTCCTGTTTGGTCAATTTCAGACTGCAGAAGCTGATAAAAATCTCCAATTTCCTCATCTTTGGCTTTGGTGGTTGGTGCATAAATTTGAATAATAGTCATATTAACTGGTCCTCCTTGTAGGTGTAT